CCCGCCTGCCGGGGGCCGAACCCCTCACGTGGGGAGCTAAGTCCCCAGGTCGGCAGGGAGGAGATGGCCGGAGCCCGGAGGGGGGAGGAGCCGGGGCAGGGGATGACGAGGGGGGAACAGGGGATCCTCAGCGCAATCAGCCCAGCAAAACCGGTCCGGCGACGCGGCGGCGGAGGGGGTGGCCGCCGGAGAGGGCGGCAGCGGGGGGGAGGGCGCGGCGGAGCCGCCCGCAAGGTCGCCAGGAGAGTCGCCCATCTTCCTGAAGATAGACGAACACGGTCTCTAGCTGGACCTTCCTCAGGGAAGTCCTTCTTTGGAAGGGCTTCGGTGACCGATGGATCACTAGAGTCATGCAAATGGTCTTTTGCGGTCGCACGGCGGTCAACATCAACGGCGAGATTGGTCCTTTCTTCCCTACCCTTTGTGGGGTTCGCCAAGGCGACCCCTTCTCCCCGTTCCTCTTCAATATGGTTGTGGACGCTCTGGCCTCCATCCTTGATAAGGCCAAAGCCGCTGGCCACATCCGTGGGATTACCCCACACCTTTCTGGGGGCTCGGGGATCTCCATCCTTCAGTATGCTGACGACACGATCATCATGGTCGAAGGCTCGGAGGGGGACATCGCCAACCTCAAGTTCCTCCTGCTCTGCTTTCAACAGATGTCGGGCCTCAAGATCAACTTTGATAAGAGTGATGTCATGGTGATGGGATATTCCCCCTCTGAGTTTATAGCCATCGCCAACAGACTTAATTGCCGCCTGGGCTCTTCCCCCACCTCCTACCTGGGGACCCCCATTAGCGACTTGCGTCTCTCTGCCGCGGACCTGAGGCCCGCAGTTACTAAGCTCCAGTCCCGTTGCGAGCCCTGGCAGGGAAGATGGCTATCTAAGGCGGCCCGGACTATTCTCATCAACTCTTCCCTCTCTAGTCTCCTGCTGTTCCTTATGAGCTTCTATAGCCTCCATGAGTCTCTCCACAAGGAGATCGCCAAGATCCAGTCCCGCTTCTACTGGGCTGGCGAGCATGATAAGCAGAAGTACCACATGGTCAGTTGGCCTGACATCTGCAAGCCCAGGGAGCAAGGTGGCCTGGGCATCATGTGCTCCAAGAGGATGAATATAGCCCTTCTCTCCCGCTGGCTCTGGCGCATTGCCCAGGGTCATGGCGGCCTCTGGCTCGACATTATCCGGAATAAATACCAGCGGGGCCAGCCACTTGCCTTCTGCCAGAAATCGGACGGCTCCCAGTTCTGGCAGTCTATTGTTTAGCTTCTCCCGGTGCTTCGCATTGGGACCTCCATCTCGGTGGGGTCCGGCCTCTCGACGCTCTTCTGGTTTGATCGTTGGGCCGGAGACTCCCCCTTTGCGGCCCGCTTCCCCGCCCTCTTCTCTATCTCCGTCGACCCCATGATTTCGGTCAATAGGGCTCTTCTTGACCTGGGGCGCCTTGCTTTCCGTTGCCCTTTTGGGCCGGCGGAATCCGCTGCCTGGCGTGAGTTGCTTGATTGCGTCGCGTTGCACGAGCCGTTGGTGGATGGCAGGTCGGACCGTGTCCGGTGGCGGCTGGAGCCGTCGGGCCTGTTCTCCACCAAGTCGCTTTACTCGGCCATTGCCCCTTCCTCCGCCCCCTCCCCTTATCGATGGTTTGGTCCGTCCGCGTACCACTGAAGATTCGCATCTTCATGTGGCAGTGGATTCGCGGCCGGGTCCCATCTGGAGTGGAGGTCTGCAAGCGCAATGGCCCGGGCACCGGTATCTGCCCGCTCTGTGGAGTCCCTGAGGACTCAAACCACATCTTCTTCTCCTGCGTTTCCGCCCAATTTCTCTGGAGCTGTTTTCGTAAGGTGGTCGGCGGTAGTTGGTGCCACACCAACTTCCCGGACCTATTTGCTGAAATCCAGTCGTCCCCCGCGTCCTCTCGCCACATTAGGTGGCTTGAGGTTGGGGTTCTCGCCTGGACGCTGTGGACCGTTCGCAATAAGCTTGTGATCCAGCACGCTCCCCTTCGTCGCGCTACTGACGCTCTCTACAAATTCGCGGGTTTCTTGCAGCTTTGGCGGTTGCTTAGCCGCCCCCCGGACCGTGACGCCATCTCCGCCTTCATCGCCGACATCCGATCGATGGTCGTCCGCCTGTCGCCGCCGCCACCGCCGCCTCCGCCGGAGCCTGATTAGGCGCCTTGTGTGATGATGATGTTGTTTTTTCTTTCCTTCTGGGCTTGTTGGGCTGTGCCCTCAGCGGAACCTATGTACTTTGTCGTGAGACTTGGGTGTGTGTGTGGACTTGTGTGGGTTTGTATGCTCTGTGACGGTTTGCTTTATTTATAAAGCGGGGCGAAAGCCTTTTTCGGTAAGTTGATACTCCCTTCGTACGGAAATACTTGTCATCAAAATGAATAAAAAGGGATGTATCTAGATGTATTTTAATTCTAGATACATCCCTTTTTGTCCATTTTGATGACAAGTATTTTTAGACGGAGGAAGTACCAAGTATGTCAGGCATCTACACAATACGACGTCAAGAACTAGTCGAGATATCCCTGATGCACGCATCCAATTTATTTTAAAAGGAAGATAAAAGACATAACTCCAAAAGTCATGCGTGAACAATCAATGGTACACAGTAGCATACATCAATATCAACATTGGCAACACCCGGGCAGCAACAATTGTTCTTCAAAACAACGCTTGCAGGAGCTACACCTTTGCAAAATAGGAAAAAAAAAACTAGTGTCACGTTGATGCAAAGTCGTCTTTAGGAAATATCATGTTTTCCCACCACTTGAGAGGGAAGGAAATAACACATGGTGTTCCAATTGAAGCTATCATCCTCGTGGCCCTAGCATAATTAGACTGCAACAATATTACATGAAAAATTGCATGTCTTTCTCCATCAGTTTGATTTTTGGAGTAGTTAGCCGAAGCATCGATATCACCCCTTACATGTTATTTTTTCTGAGAGTATTTGTGTGTGTCAACAGAATATTTTTATTTTTTCGGGGAGCAAAATATTTGTTTACAATCCCACAAAATGCTAAATCCAAATCCAGTCTACCCATAGGAAAGCAAAAAAATGTACAGATTTGTCTTGTTTTATTACTCTGTGTGTAGATTAAATTCAGATTTCATCCGCAAAAAAAGATTAAATTCAGATTATTTTTTTTAAGTTTGTAAACAAATATCTCGTCCAGAAAAACAATTATTTTCGAAAACATTTAGGTACCATCCACTTGCCGCTCTCTCCTCCCGAGTGGGGGTGGTGGGGCGACAATTTCCAACCCCTATTTTTGGTGTGCCGGCACACAGCCACGGGCGGTCCGCCGGAGAAATCGCGCAGGCGGCAACGAAGCCCTGCGCAGGCGCGGCGCGGCTAATTAAGGGGTCGCCGGGAGCCGGCGAGCCGCGGCGGGGGATGCGAGATCCCAGTGGGAGCCGGCCGAGGAGGGCCCGCCGGACTCGCCAAGGAAACGCGGCCTGCCTCCATGCGGGGAATCGCCTCGAGGTAAGAAGCAAATAGCACATGCAGGAGGTAAGAAAGAAGCAAGCGAATGCGTGTGCTCTTTCCTTCTTACCCTCGAGCCGGCTCCCGGAACCAGAGTTGGATTTGCGATTGCACCTACCTACAGAGGTTTGCTCGGGTCGATTGTATTACCGGTTCTCCATTGCTATGTTCTCAGATCTGAACCCCTGCCATGAGAACTGAGACACAAATGATAATTTTGTAGAACGTGGTAGCCGATTGTCCCCAAATCATACTGTAGTAGATAGTACCACACCGTAGCAGACTAATTCTATTTTTCTGCATGTTTTTAGAGGTGCCCGGAAGATAGAATGTGCGTAACTGCAAAATTCAACTATGCATTTTGGCAAACGCATATTCGGTGAGTTCAGATGAACCAAGATTAGATCACTGACACCGGGTTTACGAGTCTTTTTACTTTATTTAATAGTATAAAATTGGAGACAATGGAAGACCTCTGGCAGACAGATTATCTGAAACCGTTTCAGTCTATGATCCAGTGTGAAAGCCTTTTCTCATCCTATGGTCAACTCTTGGGTTCTCACAGCCTCATTTGCACTACTAGCTAGCTGGAAATGATTAGCCTGATGTAGTTTGTGTTTGTCCCCTCGGTTATTGCACTCTGTTAATAGAATGTGCCTTTGTCAGGTCACTGTAGTTTATACTATTGTTGCTGGGGCATACCCAATTCTTGATTAACAAGCTGACTTTGTTTTAATCAGCATGGTCATCAATGAATAAACTAGCTATCAGTCGCCAGTGATAATAGGAGAAAAACAAGGAAGAAGACAGACAGGATTGGAAGTAGCTATCTGAAGCAGAAACTTAACACAGTACAAGATAATGTACAACAAGGGGGTAACACTTGAACTGAAAGAGATAGGAAGTGACCTGCCGATGGCATACAATGACACAAAACTGTCTATATATAGCACATTCTAATCAGACAGTATTACATAAACCAATTCTGTAAGTAAGAACAGACTGCTGGAACAAACTTCACCACACCGCACATCAGTCTTTTGCACTTCATAATTACATTCAGATCTTCATTGTGTCGATGACTAGTGTCCCTTCTGCAAAAGTTTCAAAGAGTTTTACAAGATAGTCCTTGGTCTTTATCTTCCTGTACCGCATTGGTCTCTTCTCATCCACCAGCTCTGCCGCTGGCTCAATCTCTCTCTCCGGGTCCGGAGTATAGAATATAACCAATGACACCCGATCTTTCTCTGCATTGGTCACAGCCCTGTGAACCGGGCTCTTGAAGAACCCGTTGCTAAGTATCTGCATGTATCAGATGAAATAGAGCTCAGCTTAACTGTTCACATGACAAGATTGAACAACTTTTGCAACTTCCTGCACATACGTACCTCCATTGCATCTCCTGTGTTCACAAGTAATGCGTTCGGAACTATTGGCACCTTGTGCCAGACACCATTTTTCTGCACCTGGAGCCCACTGACGCTATCATCGATAAAGACAACGGTGATCACAGTGGCATCAGTGTGGGGTTTCAGGCCTAAGACTTGGTCCGGCTTGGGACAGTGAGGGTAGTAGTTGAATCTAGCGTATGTGATGGCATCCTCTTCGATCATCTCGACGAAGTAGTCCTCGTGTAAATTGAGCATCCTCGCCAGGTGCCTGAGGACAAGGCTGGCAATCTCCCTGCACCTTACTGTGTACTCGCACAGAATATCTCTGAAGAAAACTGAATGATCAGAATCGTTCGATTGCTATTCATCAGTTGACTTTTTTTTTAAATCATGCATATTGATCATGGATTCCTGATAAAATTCTAGAAGGTACTCCCTCTGTTTCTTTTTAGTGTGCATATAAGATTTGGTCAAAGTCAAACTTTGTCAACTTTGACTAAGTTTTTTTTAATGTCTTTGACTAAGTTTGTAGAAAAAAGTATCAAGATTCACGATATGAAATCAATGTTGTTAGATGTATCATGAAATTAATTTTCATACCTTATAGTTTTAGTATCGTAGATGTTGATATTTTTTCAAACAAAGTTGGTCAAACTTTGCGAAGTTTGACTTTGACCAAATCTTAAATGCAGACTAAAAAGAAACGGAGGGTGTACCTGAAAGAAGGAGGATGGGCGGGCCACATGCTATAGATTCTCCGGTACTCCGGTTCCACTACAAGATACAACCGGTCACTCCAGTCCAGGGTCTGCTTCTCTGATACGACTATATCATTCCCGTATCCTTCCATACGGAACTCCTGGCCATCAACCAAGTTTGAGTACTTCTGCTTCTCTTCCAGTGGGAGCTTGTAAAATTCTCTCGTCATTTTCATCACCTCACCAAGAAAACTTGGCTCTATTCCATGCCCGACAGCCTAGAGAAAGATCGATCACAACTCTGTTCAACTGATTAAAAATAACACAAAGAGTTAGGCAGGACAAGCTTACCAGGAAGAGGCCCCAGTTCTCCAAGGCGGACTGCATCTTGGCAACCTCATCAGAGCTGTTACCGGGGGCAGGCAGACGGCTGAGATCAATGATTGGGATCGGATCGGGCATCTCGGAACAGGCAATGTCTGGGCGGTTTTGCTCAGGAACCACATACTGGCTTGGTGGCTCCTGTACGCAAGTCACCAGCTCTTGCACAATCGATGGTATGTTGGCTATCTTTGATGGTTCTTCACAAGCCATGGTTGCTTGCTACTGTTGTTTGTCTTGCAAGTTCCCTTGTATCGCTTTGGCAGTTTTATGGGCATAGATTTGCGAAAGCAAATAGTTTGTTTCAAAGCAAATGGGTATCTTGACTTTCAAGCGCGCAGCTGGATCCACCACTGACTCCTTTGTCCACTTCTATAGAGCCAATTTTTATGTGCACAAGTGAGTAGTTTAGGATGTAGTCATCACTTTGACCCACACACCAATTAGTGAGAAGCACAAACCGGTGAAATATATATACTTGTGTGGCTGCGTAGCCAAATACAGAGTAGTGCATGCCACTGCTACCAAATGCCATGTTATCTCTGTCCACTCACTTGTCTTATTATATAACTTGTTTTGGCTTTAGGTGTATTCTTGAGAAAAAAAGAGTAGTCGCCGTCTTTCTGATCTTTTTGGTGTTAGTTGCAGTGGTTGGTGGCTGGTCTATTCATCGATAACCATGTGGACTGAGACGGGACTGAGACAAAGACAACTTCATCTTGCTTACTGCATCCTCTTTCTTCAAGAGAGCACAACCACCAAGGAGAGCAAGACCAGGATCAGCAAAGAAACATCCAAGAAATCCAATGGCTGACGAGTCATGGAGGCTGCCGAGTTCAGTGCAGCAACTGGCTGCCAGCATACAGGAGCCACCAAGGCAGTACTTGCTCAGAGAGCAAGAACCGCTTGGTGGGAACCTGGCTGGTACCGAGATGCCGGAGCCCATTCCAACAATCGATCTCGGCTTGCTGTCCGCATCCAACGATGCGGAGGAGGCCGCCAAGCTGCGGTCAGCGCTGCAGACCTGGGGATTCTTCAAGGTAAGATTTCGTTTTCGAGTTTCCTGTTCCTAAGTTTTACTTTGGCCTTTGCATTTTCGGTTCACAGTGTACTTGCTATTTCTGTAACACGCATCACCCTGTGTGGCCAGGTTTCTGACCATGGAATGGAGACCTCTCTCATGGATTCTGTGATGAACGCATCAAGGGATTTTTTCCGCCTGCCGCTCGAAGAGAAGAGAAAGTACAGTAACATAATAGGCGGGAAACATTTCCAGATGGAAGGGTATGGAACTGACCAGGTGAAAACTCAAGATCAAAGGCTGGACTGGTCCGATCGGCTGCATCTTAAAGTGGAGCCAGAGGATGAGAGAAACCTTGCCCATTGGCCCATACATCCAAAATCTTTCAGGTAATCTATCTGTGATACATGTGTTAAAATGGATCTGTCTTAGCTGTCAGTTTTGCAGAATAGAGTTCATTTGCTTATTTATATCACTAGTGATCTAGCCTGAACTGGAGAAACTTCATAAATAATTACTGTATGAAAGAAACCATCATCAGTATACCAGACTTGGCTTAACTGAACTACCCTGGTGGTATTTGCAGGGATGACCTGCATGAGTACACATCGAAGAGCAAGAGAATCAAAGACGACATCCTTCGGGCAGTGGCCAAGCTATTGGAGCTCGATGAAGATTGCCTAGTTAACCAGTTTAGCAACAGGGCTCTCACTTATGCTAGATTCAATTACTATCCTCCATGTCCAAGACCTGATCTTGTCTTGGGCATCAAACCTCATTCTGATGTCTATGCTCTTACAGTTCTTCTAATGGACAAGGATGTCGCTGGGCTGCAGTTTCTCAGAGATGGAACGTGGTACAATGTTCCATCTGCGTCTAACTACACCTTACTGATCAACGTTGGTGTTACAATGGAGGTAGCCATCTCTGAACCTCAAGTAAATTTCTCCCATATTCGCGTCAATACAGATATATGCACTCAAGTTTCTCTCCTGCACAGATAATGACCAACGGGATCTTCAAGGGACCAGTACATAGGGTTGTGACTAATTCTGAGAAAGAGAGGATGTCAGTGGCCGTGTTCTATGGTCTGGATCCTGAAAGAGAGATTGGACCGATAGCTCAGATGTTGACTGAGGACCAACCGGCGCGATACAGGGAAATGAAGGTCAAGGATTTCCTAGTCGCGCACCTTGAGCATTTCTCTCGAGGAGAAAGAGTTGTCGATTCGTTAAGGATATGATCAAGGTGAGTTTGGTTTGGTGCCGCAATACCCATGGAATAAAGAATTTGTGACTTGCCGATTCGTTAAGGATATAAAACAAGGTGACTTTACTTCTATAAGGCGATGAATCTGGTGAAAATAAAGAATTTGATCCTATTTATGTTGCATTTTGGGTTAATTTGTTCTGTGGTAGATGTGGCTGTATGGACACCTTTGTATTCTCTTAGCTCAAGTGTCTCCTCCCTTTCTCCACAACTCACTTTCACTTTGTTAGGTTTCTTCATGCATGTGCCGAAAAAACTGAACTTCTATTCCAGAAAAAAAGAGTAAACTTGTGAATTTTAATAAAATTGTTGCTCCTGTACACATGGTATACACTATAGGTGTAGCAACAAGAAATTTCCTGCGTGCGTGTTCCAGTGACCCTGAGGTGATGATCACCTACGAGAATGAGCAGACATGGGTAGTCCAAGACACAAATGCAGAAGCCAGAGGCTGCCAATGTCAGAAGAAAATAGATCATCGACTTGATGTCAGTAAGCACATCAGTTGGTCATTCATTGTTCAGAAAATGGAATGCAAGTTTAGAATCGTAGCAGAAAGATGCACATATAGTGGCATGCCGGTAGCAATGCTATTTATGATTTTCAATTGGTAGTGCCATGTTGGCAAAATGTAACGCCCGATAATTATGCTACAGTAAAACTCTGCTAATGATGCCACGTCACCTCCATTACTGTTGCTAATCTTTCGTTAGTTCAAAACCGATTCAAAAATCAATTCAAAATATGGCAAACAACAGAAGTTTTCAAACCTTGAAACAAAAATGTTTGGTGGGTGCCAAATATTGCACTGATAATTATTGTGGATAAAACACAATTTTAGAAAATTTCTAAATACTTAAAATGACTTAAAACAGAAAAGGAAATAAAGAAAAACAAGCAAGCAAGCAAACAAACAAACAAAGAAAACAGATACAAAAAAAGGGGGAGAACCCCCCCCCCCCTCCCTCCCACTGGGCTTCGGCCCAGCAGGCCACCAGCCCAACTGGGCAAGGGCCAAGCCGGCCACCCCCCACTCCTCACCTTATCCCCCCTGATCCAGAAAACCCTAACCGACACCCACCCCACTCTCCTCTCACTCGCTCCCC